CACTCAACCATCACCCAAGCTAAGGAGAACAATTTCCCAGACATCTCCTGTCCTCTCTTGGATACTTTCCCTATGGAGACAATTTTAGATAGGAAACTCTCCATCTGTACAAAAAAATGTATTAGAAAATATCTGTTTCTTTGATTTAGAAAACAAAATCTAAGGTACAAGTCTGTGTACATAAAAACTAGAAGAGAGATAACTACGACTCCCATGGTGCATTTCAATGAGAAACATCTAATCACTGATCTTAGAATTCAGTTATGTGCTCACCTAATGGTGGGCCGAAGCTAAAGATTACACTGTTAAGAAAATATAGTCTGTAAAGTTAAATTAAAAAGAGCAAAACATTCAGTAATAATTAATATAATAATTAAAGCTGGTTGCCATAACATCAGCCTATAACAAGTAACTAACATCTGGTAGAGTTCCTTTTTTGTATGGTTAGTATATCTGAGTATATCAATAAAAGAATATACATAATACAGAATGGGGGAAAACACGTGTTCTGGAAACAGCAGCTCTTCTCAATATCTATTCTCCGTTAAAAAAAAATTTGAAATAGAAAAATTTGGCGTGCTGAATGCCACAATTAAAACACTCACACATTTGGGTTCAAAGGTTCCACTGCTCATCTAAATATGAATCCACGTCATGGGTTTTCATGAGTTGGATGTTTCTGTCAAGACAAATCAATTGAAGGAGAAAGAGTAATGAGAGAGCATTCCTGTGCTCTTAGCCATGGGGTAAAACATCTATTTTTAGCCACCTACATCGATACGTTTCCCCTCTGTGTCATCTCTGTCTAATGCTTCATAAAGCTTTGCAGCCTTTCATCTCCTCTCTAGTGTATGTGATGGCTGGTTCCACTGCTCTTGACACTTGATGCAGCTTCAGACACTTTGAGTTTGGTTCTCTTGATATTTTAAATGCTTTAACAGGTTATACTTACAGTTAGCAAGATGCTTGCTGTGTGTTTTATTCTGAAGAGTAAAGGTAATTTTAATCAAAATTTGACATAAAGGGAAAAGGCAAATATGCAACCAGAGCTAGAGAAACATCCAGCCTCGAATTCTTCAAGTAGCTGCTTGATTAAAGTTAAACCACAGTTAAACATCCTTCAGCACCTAATGGGATCAAATAAGATCAAATAACAGTTTTTGTCTTTGATCCCTCTACTAAACGCCCTCCAGGCAAAACCGAACCTCTCAGCTCGTATGCATTATTCAGCCTCCATGCTAAGACAGGACAGGACTGTTAATATGAGTGTCGAGATGTAGACAAGCCTCAGATACTCTGCCGGTCTGTCTATGTATTCATGCTTTCCATGTCTGCAATGCAATCATATCTAATACTACACTCTTACATAATTTACACCTTTACTAGAATCTCTTACACCATACATTTTACATATTCAGGCCCTACCCTTTGTACTCTAAGCATGAACACGTGCCCGCGAGCCATTTATTTTTTCAACTGAGACACAGAAGGGCATTAAAAAGTCCGTTAGGCTGCAATGGGTGTTGACATTACATAACTGTCTGTCCATTTACCCCTGCAACTCTAATAGCTCTTAGAATAGAAGCAGGCCCCGCAACTTTGCTCATTAATGAGATGATCTTTGACCCTCAACTCCCTGACAGAAAATCTTGAGCTATAGTAAAATCAGGCCTGTCTGTTCACACCGATATCTTCAGCTGTGAAGTGTCACTGTGGGAGATTTTTGTAATTATCCATTATGGCAGATGCGTATGATAACACGACTTGGTTGTAATTTATATTTAAGGTCAAATGTTAATATGCAGAGTATTGAATACTTTTAATGATTAAGGTTTTATCATATTGGCATCACTGAGGCTCTTTGATAAGTTAGTAATGGCTAATTAAAGGTCTTAAAAGGTGCCATAAGTAGGACAGGATGACATAGTCAAAAATGTTATCATGATAAAAAGTTTCATATCTTTCGATATTTATAATTATCACGATAAGTATCAAATCATTATTTCTTTTAAATTTAAAGGCTGATTTTTGCTTCTTAGTGAAAGTTGAAGAAACCTGATGGTTAATTGTGGATTAAACTCTTCTTTATGGTCAACACTTGATGCCAAACAGTGGATCACATCACAAATCTGAGGTAGAACATTCGAAACAATTATGATAAAATCTTTGTCAACTAATATGCATGAGTAAAATTAAGTAAAAGCTTTTTTTCAGTTCCTTTTCCTCAACAAAATAAACATCTCAATATGTATGATTCTAGTGAATAAAATCAAACATTTTTATTGAATATTTATTGAACACTTTTAAAATTAACACAATTAAAATTTATATCGCAATAATTATTGTTATTGTTTTATTGTCCAGCCCTAGCCATTAGTCAAAACAAGATATGTCTTCAAAGAGTAGAATTTGAAGGAAGCTCTCATCTTTAAATGCAATCGGCTGTGCTGACGACTTGAAACTGGTATGGATAATTCCCCCCCAAGTAAAGACTAATCATGCAGGTGCATAGTTTATGCTAGCCAAGAAGCCAGCTTACTCTAGTCTTCATAGAAGAGTGGTGTTAAATACCCAGCACTTTTAGCTTTGTCATCAGGAAATGAAAAAGCTATAATCACATGCGTCACCACGTGGAGTTATTAGCCCTTGCTAACTGAAGATACAACCCCAGTCTAAATATGGGTTTAGCGTTCAACGAGTGGGCAGCTTTCATTGCCAGGGAAACTAATGCAGCGTCTCCCTTTTGTCTGTTTAATATTATGGATCAAAAGGAAGTTGTGCTGCATGTCACGCTGCACGAAAGATAAAAATATTCTCTTCATGTTTCACCATCAAACGGACGCAGGATGAGAAAGAGGGAACCATCCATCTGATGAGCTCTTATTTGTCTTGGAGGTCTTAAAAGCATCTCACAAACTCAGGGCCATGCATCACTCAATGGAGCCGTTATCTAACATTATTTATTTGCTCTAGCTTGAGTAAGCAGCAGTTGAAGCATGGTGTCAACCCACCTCAGAGACAAATGACAAGTATTTGGAGGTAGACAAGGGCTACTTTACTGAACCGGTTAGGTTATATTTTATCCCACTCTTTGAATTGACATATTGCTCTGTCTATGTGGAAAATGCTAACAAGAAATGTTCACCCAAGTGAAAGTTGCTTTGGTCAACAGCTATGCCATTTTAAATGCAGACAGCACTTCTTGCTCTGCACTCTAGTGAAAGGGAAAAGTTATTCTAATTATTGTCTTGACAGCATGTTGAGAAGCCACTAACAACAGGCCCCTTCAAACAACAAGCCATCACAAGAGAAACCTAGTATCTGTGACAGCAAGTCATTAAACCATCGATTGAAAGTGTGTGTGTGTGTGTGTGTGTGTGTGTGTGTGTGTGTGTGTGTGTGTGTGTGTGTGTGTGTGTGTGTGTGTGTGTGTGTGTGTGTGACTTCTGTCCACTTTTGAGGAGACAGGTGTGGAGAGTTCAGCAGGGTGACACATTATCACTCAGACTGAATGTTTGTACTATTTTGACCACTGGAGTGTTATTGTAATCTGTGTTTATTCAATACAAACAACCGGCGCAGCAACAGTACTGATGTAAGCTTTAGCTAACCACACATCTCGTTTTCACTTATAGAGCCCTGCATGGTCAGGCACCTGGGCACATCTCCGACCTGCTTCACACGTATATCATCACTAGGTCACTTAGGTCCTCTGACCAGGGCTTAATCCTTGCATTGGACTAAAAACAAAAGGTGACTGTGGTGGTGCCCACTCTGTGGACTGCTCTTCCTTTAGACATACTGTATGTTCTGCAGTCTCTGTTGACGCCTTTAAAAAGCAGCTGAAGGCTCTTTTATTTAAACTGGATTTTGTCTCGCCGTGTGTTGTCTTAATTGTGCAGTCTTGTGTGTTTTAAGGTCCGTTATTTCTTATGTTTTATTGACTGATTATTTTACTGTTTTCTTGGTGTTGTTGCTTATGTTTTTGTTTCTTTACTTTTAAAGCCTGTGTTTTAAAGCACTTTGTGACCTGATCTGTGAATGGTGCTACATTAAATAACCTTTACTTACTTACAATCACACTGTGAGTGTGCTATTGTTGTGGCCAATTTTTATAGCTTACCAGGAACTTTTGTATTTTGCACTTGAAGGGGAGCAATATAGCTTTGGAATGCGTATACATTTACCCCTCAACTTAAAAAAATGTCAAACAAACATCAACATGTCTCCATCTTAATTCTTAATTAAGTTTTCTGTAGTGAGAAGATGAAATGCATGATCCAGGAAGTCTAACAGCAACTTCCTCTTCCAAACCATCTCAGTAGGATCACGCTATCCATGATAGAACATATTCTACCTGGCCCCCCAGATGTGACTGGCCAACATCAGATGACCATAGAGTGCATTGGTGCAAAAGTTGAATTAGAATTCAACTTTTTTGCTGGATGACACAAATATCGCCTAAAGGCGATCACGCTGGGACACATCACTGTCCTATTTCCCAGAGTTTATGCTCTTAAACTCAGCTAAATAAGTAATTTAAATAAGTTATTATAAACTCTGTTTGAAAAGCATCACTTAAAGAAAAAAATCTCTTCCTGTCAGATAAAACTATCCCGCCTGATGTTTTCTGTCGGTATGACACGTCCAGTGTGTGTCAAGTGTCACATGACGCAATGCTAATGCACAGAAGGCCCATGTGATGTGACACTGATCAAATAATCCAAATTTTATCATGTAACAAAATGACTGGTGCACTAGTAGATATTCCTGTAACTTTGGACAGAAAACCCAATGCAACATCCAGTTTAAGTTTATCAAAATAACGAAGAAATAAACCCTCTTTGAGAAAACTTAGAAAGTTAGAGAAGGGAAACATAATTAGACTTTCTCTCCGTTAAGAGAATAAGAATTTAGCAGTGGTGCATGTTGTTATTAAATGGTGTTTCAAAAACAATTTGAAGAAAATATTCATACCCAGACAAAGAGAGACCTTCTGTGACTCTTCATTTTTTATTAATTTTGTTAAAATACATATGAAACAGATACAATAAATCATATTCCAAATATTTACTTTAAATTGTTACAAAAGTTATCACAAACTGTACACATCATGACAGTAGTTGCAGTTGTTCTTGCTCGATATAGATTCAACCAATATGCAAACAATTACAGTTCAAAGCTCTAAACTCCTAAACATGGAATAACTTTATAATGTAGAGTTGGCTTCACTGGGTTCTCCAGTTTGACTAATTGTTCACAATTATTACAGAACGTGTATAAATTTTACTCAATCACAAGTCTGAGCTGTTCATATTATCACAAACAATAGAAATACATTGTGATTTCTCTATTTTTCCATATGTTTACGACAACTTCTCAAACTTCACTTTTGAATATACAAACACTGCCATGGAGAATATACAAATGTAAACACAAAGTTAAAAATTTGAAACACTATTCCTTAATATGTATGTTTTTAAAGTGGTGAGAGGCATGCTACAAGTAAAAATATTTCTTTTTAATATTAAGGGCAGTGCAGGGGAGAAAAAGCATTATATGCATGTGCAAGTAAGATAACAGTACATAGCCTTTTTCTATTTGCTATGTTGGTTTCTTATTAGTTTCTTATTACATGTAATGAGAAGCTGAGTCAACGTTCTCTGTTAGATGTATTGAACTTAATTTCATATGGCTTAATGTAAAATAGCGATTCTCAAACTTTTCACGTCAAGGACCCCTAAACTCACACAAATTAGACCACGGACACCAATTTGATAAGATTTTGTCCCAGGGTCGCCCATATGATGGGATTTTGGCTTTTAGATGTTTTATTACAGAAGTTGTTTGAAACCCATGACCAAAATAGTCATACATTCTGTCATTGTGTAACTATATGGAATTACAGTGAAAAAAGATGATTCTCTTTTTTTTGCTGGGGACCTTCTGGAGCCCGCACAAGAACCCCCCGGAGGTCCCCAGACCACGTTTTGAGAACCACTGATGTAAAAAAGAAGATATATATATATAAATAACATTTGCAAATGTTTGAGCATGTGTATAACTTCTTGGATTGCAGTTCCCTGAATTTGTAATTTATGAGGAAATGGTGTTTGGTTGAATTGAGATTCAATTACTATCAGTATTACTCTACTCTATTTTTGTGTTGTTTGACCAATTAAGCATCCTCTAAGTTCTGCTCAGACCTGACCCTGTTTAGTTTACATACCTGTACTTGGTCAAGTAAGACAGAGTTAGATTTATGTTTCTAACTTTACTAGAGAAGTGGCTTTTAGAACGAGGACTAACTACTGTGTTTGTTGAATGTAATGCTGTCTCAGATAACAAGTTTGGCTGGAGTTGGTGAAACGTAAACTTTTCCAGATCCAATATGGTAGCACAAAGCTGAAACTCCGATACAGTAGCATTTAGGACCCCGTCTTCAACAAAGCATTCGATGCGCACATACAGGATGATTTTTAAAATGTGAACATCTACCAGCCACTGACTGATAAATTCACAAGCAACTCAATCATTGTGATAATTGTGTTGTTTCTGAAATCTACCAGCCTCTTTCTTATTTTACCAGCATTTGGCTGGTGCTGATTTCCAACTCTGCTCTGTAACCCCACAATGTAATGCAGCATAAAATGCTACCGGCCTTGGATGTAAGGCTGGGCTAGGCAGCTACTTAAAGCAGTAAATAGCCAGACATGCTAAAATTTTCAGCTTAAGTTAGAGCAGATAAACACTTTTTAATTAATTCCTTACATTTAGGTGTTGTATTTTGATTTTGGAGAGGGTTAAAAGGAAAAAAACAAAGCTTGACAGGCCTGCTGTTCCTAGTTATGGGTGGACCCATATATTTAGAGCAACGATGTTAATTAATATATTGATATAATCTAAAGAAAAGTCTAAAGATCATCCATTTGTCTTTTGACAACCAATTTGTAAAGTACAACGTGGAGCCATAATATCAACCAATGGCCATCGTTCATTAGCATTATTCACCTTTTAGTTTCAACATGAGGGACATTTGCAGTGTAAACAACAGTTTAATTATATTTAATACAGTTATAGAAGTAATAGGAGGATTAGTCTAACTGATTTCTGTAAGCTACTACTTCTATTTTCAGTTATGTTCTGAATTTGTTTGGGTGTGTGCAAAAATAAATATGAAATTGTTATATTTAAAGTCTTGCCATGTGTTTGGAAACAAATCTATTGTATTAATTTCACATTCTCTTTGATTTGACTGTTGTTTATCTCACTGTACATAATGTTTGCTACATGTATCTGCTACAGTTTCTCTAGATCTGAGAGTCATGTTGACTTTGCTAATATCTGCAGATAACAGCTACTTAATGAACGATTTTACACATCTGTGACAGTTGTGACTGATGAATTTTAAGAGAGATTTACCCAGCCCTTGAAGATGCTCAATTACCTGCATTCTTCACTTAAAACCTGGATCAAGACTCACTGGTGTGTTTTTTATCAAGCAAATGTGTTGATGACATCGAGCAGTGTAGCCCTTTAACTTTGTGCCATTTCAAAGTAAAATGTGAACTCCCTAAAGAGCTTATGGGCCAGAAAAGGTGTTGAAAATGTTGATAAAGCTGCTATCACTGAGGACTTCTTGCAGTGAGGCTTACCATTCATGTGGTCTGTGTAACTGTTTGGCAACTATAGCCTTTCTGAGAATTTCAAAGCAGATGAAAAATATGACAAACAAACTCTTGAACTGAATGACAGTGAGTGCTGTGCATAGCCCGCTCAGTAGAGCTAGTGTTCAAATGAAATAAGAAAAACTATTTCCACACAACCTTGTTTCTAGAAACATATACAAAATGTGTAAGAATTAATCCAATTTTCATACAACATGCTCACAAGACACTCATGGGCAACATAACTTCTCAGCAACTCTAACTCTAATGTCTGGTTTCTCACAGAGGTGGTGTTATGATTCTACCTGTGATCGTCAAGGTGTCTGTGGAGGTTTGGGTGAAGGACACGAACCTTGACTCTCAAAGCTTGCTGCTCTTCCGGGCCACTGCAAGGTAAAATATCACAAGACACAAAACACATGATAGAGACTTTGTCACCCTTTTGTTGTAGCTAAGTAGTTTATTACTCTAGTACTCAGGATCTACTGTGATCATAGGCAAAATAGTTGTATTGGCCTAGCTGGGTCAGGTCACAATAAGCAGCAAAGCCAGGTCATCACACAGGAGATGTGGCAAAAAAAAACTACAGTGTTTATTAAAACTATTATAGTGATTTGTAATATACTTCCTTTTCTTTTCTGTAGCATGAATTTGCACATCTATATCGGTTGTAAACTTTTATTGAAATCTCACTTGCAGTGATGACATTTTCTTCTTTAGTGTGTGCGCTCATATGTGTCCGCGCGTATGTTAATGATTTTACTTTATCTATTAAGTGTGCACTGAAAGATTCTTTGGATAAATAAATAAATAAACTGAAGGGGAAGTTGATTTAGGAGCTTGACAATGTCCTTATATTGAGACAAAGTGTGCATGGTGTATTTTACTGAATGCTGACAATGCTGCCAAGGCATAAAAAGACATGTTTAACTCTGTAACGGCATTTGATTTGTAGCCATGATACAAGATGTGGTCTTAAATTTTGCGTGCAGTCTAGAAGATACTGCACACAAAATCTAACCTTTGAGTATGAATCCCACACACTCTGTAGGACTGAACTTTGGCTGTAAAAAGTTTACTTTTTTCAAGGCAATTACAATGGATTACAGTTTTTTGCACAGTGGGGGGAAAAAAGATAAAAGTAGGATAAGACTCCATTGATCTCCAAGTGTTATTTTCACCTTCACAAAACTATCAAAATATTGTTAGACACCTGTGAAACCACTCCTACAGCAAAATCCTCTTCTCTATATATTTCAAACACTTATACTATTGCCAAATTATAGCTTCCATTTTAAACCTCGCACACTACCCTACTGAGATTGTGAGCAGGTGTTAAAGCCTGCTGCTCTTCCATTGGTCTGGACAACTGCCCTGTCCTAGCTGCCTCTCTTGCTGTGCCTGGAGTGTCATTGTAAAATTATTTATGATGCTTCCTGCCTGTTATAATGTTACTCTTGTGTGTAATGTATTCTGTTAAGTTTAAAGTTTAAAGAATAGATATATGAATAATAAACATTGACTGTATTCCATCTCCTTATGCAATGAGTGTTTATTATAGACATTTTTGACAAGAGCTACAGAGGACATGATTTTTGCCTGTGATCACAGTAAAGCATATAAAGTAGTTTTACCACTGAAAATGAGTAATCACCTGTATTTTCCTATTCGTCAGATGGGAAGTAGGAGTGGCAAAAGAGGAAGAAACATTGATAACATGTAAAATATGAAGTTACATTAACAGGGGGGGAGACAGTTAGCCTGTCAAAAAGAAAAACGCCTAGCAACTGTAAAACTGTCTTATACGTGGCATCTTTTTAGCTAGAAGACTAGACACCAAAACATCCAAGGGTCAGCTGGGTTTTGCAGTTTGTAAAGCAACTTCTCTATGAGGACATGACTTCTGAGATGCTGAGATGCACTTGGTACTGCTCATTAAACCAACATCTTTTTTCTAAAAATATAAGTAAGACAGTATTGGAGTTGTTGGAAAGCACCTGACCAACCTAGGCTAGCTGTTTCCCCCGCAAACACACATTTTCTATCTCTTTATTGAAGGCACATAGGTGAAATGAATGTCGATCTGCTCATTGGACTTCTGGAAAGACAGCTAATAAGCTTCCCAAAATCTCAAAATATCCCTTCAAGCCTTTTTGAATGTTTTTTGGGGTTTTTTTTGTGATTTTCATAGAAAATACCCAGAAGTTTCCAAAAGAGTTGCTTGGCCTAAATTCCTTATAGCCCAGATGTCCCCGTAACAAAAGTTGAAGAGTAATAGTAAGTACAGAGATAAACAGCTGCTGAAAATGTTAAGATATATTTAAAAACTGAATGTTAACTTGAAAGAATGTTTGCACAGCAAATTATTTTAAATGTTCATTATTTGATGTTTTTCATTAGATTTTCTAGTGTTTTCTAATATTTAAAATAAATATATGTACATTGCTGTATTTTTATTGTTTTTTACCAAAACCAAATTTAAAAAATCATGTAAGCTCCTTAAAGAAAATGGAAGAAGGTCAACTAGACAAAGCTAGTATCAAAAATTCTTGCCTTGCACTGCATTGCACAGCATCTCACATGTCACATTCAGGAGCTTCTAGAAAGTTCTGTAAATATGAGTTTTTTGAGACAGGGGAATACTGACTCTGGGATAAAATAAGTGTTTGTACCTCTCCCAGAGCGTGCCAGTGTGTGATGGGCTTCCGTGGGTAAGCCAACATTTCGTTCCAGTGATCCCGTCCGAGACCCTCAGCATCTGGCCCGGTGCGACACACACCGATCACCTCATTGTGTCCAACCCTGTTAGCAGTAAAACACACAAAAATCATGATAAACTGAACAGAAAATGTATATTTCACCAGTCTTAGATTGCATAAATATATCAAAAATAAGATGGAAGTTCACTAACTACAGTAAATGAGCTCACTTAGCCTAAACACCTTCTAAAAGCAAATCCTTAAATGTTCTCCTTGTCTGTGAACTCTGTTGACCTTTAGTTAGCACGTTAGCATGTACTTTATATACAGTATCAAGTGACTGCTTGACTCACCGATCATAATCCATCACCATGATGGACAGGCTGACTTGTTCCACGTTCTCCGGGGGAATATCGAAGATGATGGCCTCGTTGTACGCTGGATTAAGTGTGCTTTTCTTGGTGGTTGTTTTTCGCTTCTTTAACCTCCGCCCATCACATATCAGGTAAACCTTCACATAAGGGTCTGGAAGACATGTTTACTGTCATTTAACAATTTGTTCATTTGTACATATGTATGGAATTATAGTAAATGGGATGATATCAACAAAAGCTAACAATGTACAGCGAAGACACAAATTGTCATATACTGACAGAGGGTAATACTTTAAATAATTTGTTCTGACTGGCCTCCCTACAGCATGTCTCCTCCCCATTTCCATTCTCAGTGGCTAACTGCTGTTTCATTTCAGCCAAGTTTGATTTATGGCTCAGCTTGTGCTTTTCATGTTAGCCAGCCATATCTTATTTGCTGTCGGGTTACCTGAAGAGCCTGTGATGTCCATGGCTTTGAGGTTTCTGCATTTGATGACTGTTAGGGTCATTCTCCCTGCTGTTGGGAGGTAGCACAACGAGTACATGATCTCTCCTAAGTCAACGCTCTCCTGGAGGGCAAAACAAAAAGACAACAGAATGCATTTCTTCCATTTTACATGCTTTGACCACACTCTGTGAATCAACATACCAAAGCTAAGGAGAGAACAGGTCAGTAAATAAAGGAAGTTGTATTTTGTCAGCTGGTGCTGAGGATTTTATTAACATGGCATGGCAGGCTGTTGCAATATGTATCCCCTTCAATGCAGTGTAGGCACCTAATCTTAACTATTAGTCAGTCTTATTTTGTCAATATTCTTTCACCTGCCAGCTTTTAGTCACAAGTTTCTTAATAGTTGTTGTGATTTATGTAATTTTTTTAGCCACGCTAGCAGCAAGCTCTATGCATGGCAATGTCGGTTGGTCCACAACTTTATGTTATGTTAAAGATTGTATTGTCATAATAATAACGGTCATTAGTTGTGCATAGGTTTTATGATACAGATGGAAACGTTTATAAAGAAAGATCAAGAAAGTTCACAATGGCAGATTAGCTAGGGTGTCATGAAAAGATGTAACTATACATTTATATTCTAGTAATTTAGGCTTATAAGCTTGCATGGTATGCACAGATGAGGGCAAAGAAGAAATTATGTTTAAACAGCAAATGAAACATGACGTATCAAAACAAATGTATCCCTGAAAAAGTTTTGTCCAGTCAAATCAGCAGTGGAATTATCCTCTTTTTCCCACAATCTTTTAGAAATGATACGCCATATAAAAGCTCTCTCTTACACACACACATACACATTTTAAGAATGATACATCCAACACCTCCCCAAAGTAGCTAAAGCTGCCCTCCGGTGTATAAACAGGAGGAGGTTTTCAGGTTAATATATGTCCTACAGTTAGAGGAGGTAAATATAATCTTCATACTAGACTACACAAGCAAGGCACGGCTTAAATAATACTCTGTTGAGTAAAAAGTTACATAGTTAACTCAACTCTGTATCTAAAGTATAGATGTACTATATCTTAAGTTGTGCTCTTTGGCCTGCTCTTCTGTACTGTAGATTAGCATACATCACATAAAAGCAGCAGTTCGTTGTTGCTCATTTTGAGTGTACTTTATGTCTAAAAAGAGCTCTTCTATATGGTTCTTGAACTCAGTAAGCAACTAGAGAGTACCTAGAGAGTCCATTCCTCCACTACGGCTGAATAATCCTGTCCAAATTTGGTATCCAAATTATAAAAGAAAATGTTTTGTGTTCTGCAATCTGTATTCTAATTTGTATCTTCATTCAGATCAGCATTATCTAGATGCAGATTTTAGTGCTTCATAGTGATAAACAGATGCATGTGCCACATTTTGAAAGAAAAGCCTTGTATTGCAATGTTACAAAATCTTTGTCCTGGGTGTGGATCTTCCTTAGTAACATCAATTACTCGTCCTTCGCTGATGACTATCCATCCATCTTTCAACTTTTCAAACTTTTGGGTTGAATCAACCCTTGCCGACCTTGGCCGAGAGGAGGGGTACACCCTGGACAAATTGCCAGTTCATCACAGGGCTAACACATAGACAAGCAACCATTCACACACACATTCACATGTAAGGACAATTTAGAGTTGCCAATTAACCTACGCATGTATATGGACTGTGGTGGGTGATGACCTCTACCCCACATTTCTGTCAACAGTAGCCTTTGGCCAAATGTATAATCAAACCTCTACAGCAGTTAGGCCTAAAGGACTCTACCTACCCATTTTAAAAGTTAATGGCTCTGTGTTGTTGGCTTGAAATTCCATAGGAGAGTTTAGTCCCACTGTTACACTAATTGAAGTGTGGAATAGGTCTAGCAATTTATAGTGCATTACTGATTATTTGGTTGAAAAATACTACAGGTGCTGGATCAAAAAGCAAACTAAAGGCAACAATCAAACAAATCAAAACAACACTTTTGTTTGATTCTTGCCAATACTTAAAGATGGTCATGAAACCCCAAAAGTTTGAAGAGTTTGTGTTAATCTTTATGATAATGTTTTATCCTTTTTTAAATGAACAGATTAACAAATACTCAAATAAACCTTCCTAATGTGGTTTTAAGAACAGCTTAATTAAAAAAAGCCAATAAACATTAAGCATAACTGACAAAATAGAGAATCATCACTAGTCAGTCTAAATATATAGTTTTTCTGTTGCTAATCATACAGCCTACAGTAGCTAATGTGAACCTGAAGACAATGGCTCAGTGTTACAATGAAAACATACATAAATAAAGCAGAGGCTCTTGAGTAAACTGTGGCTAAATTACCAGAAAGAGTTCATATAAGGATATGCTATCCACAGCACGCTATAACTGTATACCCTGTTTATAAGAACAGATTGCTTCTGACATAAACAAACAAGTTATATTTCTTCTGATCGGATAATTTTATTTTGTTGCTATATTTACATCCATAGAATACCCAGCAGTTTCCTGGAAAATGTGTGTGGGTGTTTGGCTGATGAAATGCATTTCCCAAAGCATTTGAATTATGCAATGTGTTCCACCTGCCACTTTTGTGGAACACTGTTGATGAAGCTCTTTCTAAAAACAGTTCCCATTAACTATGTGTTTTTCCTCAGTGATTACACAGAAGTCTGGTGCAGCATTTCTTACATGGCAACAATGTCCGCATATGTCTTTGGCAGTGTGTTAGTCTGAACGCCAACTCACCGTAGTTGCTGCATGAATATCCTTCCACACCACAGCCTCCCTGGAAAGATCAGAGAGTTCAAAGAGGTTGTCCACCACCACCTCGCCAATCATATCGTGGCTGGTGAAGCGGTCAAAGTCGTAGACGCTGAAGTGCAGCTTGCGGTTGCAAATCTCATCATACGCCACGGGGAAACAGAAGGTTTCGTCAAACGTGGGGTTCAGATTCTTGCGATGGACTCGCGTCTGGAACTTCTTCTTCCTCTCCGGTAGCAGGTAGATCTTCACATATGGGTCGGAGGTGCCTGTGAAGTCTTTAGCAGGCAGGTCCAAGGCCTTGAGGATTCTCACCACCAAAGCTTGCTCCTCATAGTCGTAACGCAGCGAGAAGCTGAGCTTTCCGCAAGTCTCCACTGGCTCTTTGGCCTCATCCTCTGAGTCCACAGACTTCTGCTTGTAGAGTTCGGGTTTTATTCTTCCAATGCTTACTGTAGAAGACTGGCGGAGAGGCACTGTGTCCATGCTGAAGTCAAAGCTGGTGACATTCATTTGGCGAGGCAGGTGGCGACGGAATGAATTGTGCCTGTTGAAAAGGGTAAAGGGCATCTGGTAAATGTCTTAAGTGTCAGTGTTTTGCATGAGTGGCTTTGTTATGATGGGTGCTTATGGTTTGTCAGGGGAAAACTATATCTGAAAGGCATGATGCATAATCATGTGGTGTTCATGGAACATGTTTTGACATATTATTCTTGTAGAATACCTAAAAAATCTAGCATAGAAGCATTAATATTCACTCTCTCTCTCTATAAATATATATATAAATTTGCCTATTTAGTAGACAACCTAAGGACATTAACATCTTTCTGAATGCAGCTGGTTTTACCCTGAAAGTAGTGCTAGACAATAAAATCACAAGTGGCCAAACTGAAAGATCTTCTTCACTTTGGTCACTAGTGACCATGGTTTTGGAAAATGAAAACTCATCTGCAGCATTCAGATTTTTATACAAACTACCTGAATGCTGCAAATTTCTGTGAAGCTGACATCTTTCGAGAAAACCACGGCCGTGATTGACTCGCCAATCTTGTTACCTAGCAACTGGCCCTCCTCCCTTCTGACAGCAAGACAATCACAGTGATCTGACAGCGATGGCATAAATCATATGGCACAGGAAGCACATTTGAAAATTAAATACTACACTCAAGTATTGTAAATAACATAAGAGGCTGCAGATTGTCAGGGCAAACCTTAAGGGAAAAGGTAACCAGAACACAATGAATACCAACCAGACAGAGAACAGTATTTGCCTGTTTTGAGGTTGTGTTGTTGAGTTCTTTAAACCTTTAAATCTACTTTAAACTATATCATACAATCCACTGGGGATTACACCAAATCCACAACTAACACCAGAGATAAAACCCTAATTGGATATCTTTCTTTTTCAGTTTGTGATAATGTTATCATGAACATGAGCAAAGAAGTTGGAGGTAACTTGAGTGTGACATCTTCTCCCATCTTCTCCTCATTCCTAGAATTCAGAAAGTTACAAACACGTTTTTTCTAATTTTTCCAAAAAATTGATGTCATCAGATCACAATATTGAAAGACTGATTGATAAGATTAAGAGCTCATCAAAGACTACTTGTGTGTTTTTTTTCCTTCATTTTATGGATTATTAGATAGCTAAAATAATACTGGGACTTATTCTTGCCCCGAAATAATAATCCCCAATCATGGCATCATGTTCCCATTGTTCACTTTCAAGGCAGGGCCAACATTTCATGGCTGTCTATGATTTTGAGCTGAAATGGTTAGGTATATGAGTTAATACATTATTTAAACTATTTTCATAATCGGATTAAATTATATTATTTTTGCTAAATATTTGCTCATTCCAGCTTCTCAAATGTGACAGTTGTATGTTTTTCCTTGTCTTACATTTTAGTAAACTAAATACTTTGGGGTTTTGGAGTGCCTTTTTGACACTTTATCCACCAAGCGATCATTGATAATAAATAAATGATTGTTAATTGCAGCCCAATCACAGCCTGTTGGTAAATACCAACACCTCATAAAAAACATAATTCTTTTAACCAGTCAGTACTTGCCAATAAATGAGATAAAATACTTTGCAGAGACAGATTTTGGTTGAAAATGTCAGGACCATATTTACCATGTCTTTGTTGTTGTCCTGTCATTAAGCAATAAGGCATTAGGGCATTCCTCTTAAGATAGGCTTGGCCCTAAAACAGATTTTGGGCTTGAGCTAACAGTATGCAATAAGCATGTAGGTGTTTGAACATTCAAAAAGGAAATAATCAGTGAATATCACTGTCAAAAGAGTAGGTGGAAAGATTGAGACAGTAGGCGTTGTAATCTTTAACCTGGCCTTTCTGCATCCCTGGTGGGTGTATAATTCATGAAGATCATGGTCTCCATATAATTTAATTAACGAGCCTAACGACAACCAAAAGCAATTGTCAATAAAGACTTCCTATGAGAAACTGAGAGCAGCTGCCTGGTGTGTCTCACCAGAAACCAACCTTCCACAATGACAGCTCCCCACGGCAGTGCTAATTATGGACATCGTAGTTTAAACACAGTGAAGGGATACAAAGAGAAGCAAGAGCTGGTTGTTTAATTACTGGGGTCGCTTCCCGCCGTTACCATAGCAGCTTGACTCATATATACAAGAGATTATAGGGCTCTGACTGAGGCATTGAGGTATACTGCAGCCCTGGCTGTTTTTTGTCTGGTCAGAGAGTGCAAGAGACACACAATTCAACATGCGCAACAGCGTTTCAAGGTCACCAACTAGTCTCTGATGCTCTACATGACATGTGCCAAACCACCTCAAGGACAGTGGCTGCACTGTCACGAACTGCCTGGGACAGTTGTTGCATTGTGTAGGCATCAGTTTTGTAGCATGGGTGGGAACAAACTAAAGTGGGTTCAAAATGCTACCATTGTACTGTAATTGTAAGCACCAGCTACATGTGTATAAATAGCTTGTCATCATGATTGTGTCCTCAATGCAGGGGCAGACAGGGAGGGGTTGTGACTGCAGTCAGTTCATGTAGGGTACCTGGAGGAGGAGGTTGGTTCAGTGGTCTGCCTCTGGATCTTAGCCTGCTGACTGAGCTTCTCCCTAAGGGCTGTTTGCACCTCAGCGGGTATGTCCGGAGATGTCTGACTGATCTTCATGGCCGCCTCAAGGAGCTTGACAGTGCTCCGTCCGTTCACCTTCACTTCCAGAGGGTACTTCTTCTCCACCTCCGCCGCTTTGCTCTCTGTGACCGGCGGGGAGTTGGGAGGAGGCGCCTCTGGGAAACCCACATGGAGGCCATTTTCGGTGTGGGCTGACAGAGCCTTGCTCCTCCAAATGGGCCAGCACAGCTTCCAAAAGACAAAGAGAGAGACTACCAACAGGGCGAGGCCACAAAAACCCACGACCACAGCAAGGAGACTAATAGAGATGTCTACATGTAACCATGGAGAGACCCATAGAGGAAGACAGAGACACATAAAAAGGGAAGGAGAAGCAAGCCAGGGACAAAATATGACAGACAAACATGCAAGGGAGAAAGAGAAAAAGGGAGAAAAGGCAAGCTGTAAGAAAGAGGGGGCAGTTTTTTTTTTGATATTGTTTGATAAAGCAGGACAATATAAAGTCATATAAATTCTCAAAGAAGGAGCCACAGCATCAGGAGAATCACATGTTCTGACTAAAGTGGACAAAAACATTTGGTCTCCCACCTGCTCCTGACATCTCCTGTTCTTATTGAAATTTAAATGCAAAGTTTGCAGTTTGACTGTGTATCATATGCAAGGAAGCTTATTCCAGCCTGTACACAATGAGTTAATCTAACTGACACTGAATAAATTCCCCAGTTTGCAAAGTGAAAACTGAAAATAAAGACAGAGAGGAAAGGCTGGATAATAATTTCTTAATTCAAAGGGCCACCTCAGTCTATTTTCTACCTGTTGCTATTTCATCCGTCTGGACTGCGCTGCAGCAAGATGCGTAACAGGTAGAGAAACATTTTCACAACAGTTCAACACGATAAAAATGTATACAACTAAGTGGTGTAATAAAGTTTGAACACGTGAGAGCTGATGCTTAGTTTCTCCAAAGGCTCCTCTACAACTACTGAATCTCTTTCAAGGGAACAAACAAGTGATTAATTAAGGGGATTATGAAAAGAACATAATGACTTTATTCCATTTACCTGCGTGTCCTTTACCTGGTATGGTGCTCTCCAGGGGAAATATATCCGAACATTTCTCCCGGTCTACGTGTCCCGTGAGACAGAGTTCCGTAATGATTTGGAGAGCCCTTTGGCACAAGGTTATGCTGTCCTCCGTCCGGACACTCATGTCTCTCCTGTTAAGCCATTGCACGCCGGAGGAGCCAGGAGGGTGGCGGTTCATTTGGGCACCTTTTTATGCGCCGCAGAGTGCAGCCTGTCCGCGGGAGACAGCAGCTGCGTCCTTATCCATATCCAGCGCGCAACGAGGAGCGAGTGGCCAGACGCGCTCGCAGTGTTATAATAACAGGCGACGGGGTGCTGGAGTCCAACCCTCGCTACGTCCAATAGCAATGCGCACCAGTTTGCTAGTGAGTGCTTTCAGTTGGTGGGAGTAACGGGATTACTTTTTCTTACAACGACCACAGAGTTCCCCGTGAGGGACTGGCGACCTGTGTCTGCCTTTCGTCCAACTCATGCTGGTGACTGACTCCAGTCCTCCAAATCCCCAACAGGTCTTTGTCCACTGTGTTCGTTGTAGAAGAAGATAGATAAAGGACATATTGTTCTATTTACTCCATTGCATTTATTTATTTATCTATTCAGCAGACATAGTTACCTAACCTCCACCAGTTGTAACATCAAAATGCTGCTTGTGTGTTAATTCTTCAGTCATAATATTTTATCATTCCAATAATATGTTATTATAACACTCTGAAGGGACCATTATGCACACTGAGTACTCTTACTTTTGATATTCTAAGTACATTCTGCTGATAATACTTGTGAATGCTGCTTTGTGTGTAATGCATATACTATATTATAGATTTGTATGTATATTTATTTTTCATACTTTCTGTAAATAGTCAACCTACCTTCATTTTTATTATGTCTAGTACATACACTATAGCTACCCAACTCTTAACAAGTCCTCAATCACGATTTATTTTTATACAAACAATACTGTGTAAAAGTTTTAGCCAAGTGTGGGAAAAATGCTGTAGTAAAGTATGAATGCTTTCAAAAATAGACATGTTAATTGATTATATTTATCAATTAACAAAATGCAAAGTTAATGAACAGAAGAAAAATCTTAAATTAATATATGGCACAACCACCCTTTGCCTTCAAAGCAGCATTGATTCTTCCAGGTACACTTGCACATAGTTTTTGAAGGATCTCTGCAGGTAGGTTGGCCCAAGCATCTTGGAGAACTACCCACAGTCCTCCTGTGGATATACAGTGGATAGAAAAAGTCTACACACCCTTGTTGAAATGCCAGGTTCTTATGATGTAAAATAATGAGACAAAGATAAATCATGTCAGAACTTTTTCCACCTTTAATGTGACCTATTCAATAGAAAAACAAACTGAAATCTTCGAGTGGGAAAAATGAAAAATAAAAACTTTACAATAACCTGGTTGCACACCCTCTTATAACTGGGGATGTGGCTGTGTTCAGTATTAACCAATCACATTCAAACTCAGGTTAACTAGAAGTCATTACACACCTGCCATCATTTAAAGTGACTGATTAATCACAAATAAAGTTCAGCTGTTCTAGTAGGATTTTACTGAGATTTTCTTGCATCTCTGAGCAAAAGCCATGGTCCGCAGAGAGCTTTCAGAGCATCAGAGAGCTCTCATTGTTGAAAGACATAAGTCAGGAGACAGGTACAAAAGAATTTCCAAAGCATTAGATATACCACGGAACACAGTGAAGACAGTCATCAAGTGGAGAAAATATGGCTGTGACTTTACCAAGAGCTGGACGTCCCTCCAAAATTGATGAAAAGACGAAAAGAAAACTGGTCAGGGAGGCTTCCAAGAGGCCTACAGCAACATTAAAGGAACTGCAGGAATTTCTGGCAAGTACTGGCTGTGTGGTACATGTGACAACTATCTCCCATATTCTTCATATGAATGGGCTATGGGGTAGGGTAGCAAGACAGAAGTCTTTTCGTACAAAGAAAAAGATCCAAGCACGGATGAAGTTTGCAAAAACGATCAAGTCCCCCAAAAGCATGTGGGAAAATGTGTTATGGTCTGATGAAACCAAGGTAGAACTTTTTGGCCATAATTCCAAAAAGGTATATTTGGTGCAAAAACAACACTGCACATCGCCCAAGGAACAGCATACCCACAGTGAAGCATGGTGGTGGCAGCATCATGCTTTGGGGCTGTTATTCTTCCGGGGCCTTAGTCAGGGTGGAGGGAATTATGAACCGTTCCAAATACCAGGCAGTTTTGGCACAAAACCTTCAGGCGTCGGTTAGGAAGATGAAGAGGAAGTTCACCTTTCAGCACGACAACGACCCAAAGCACACAACCAAATCCACATAAGCATGGCTTCACCAGAAGAAGATTAATGTTTTGGAATGGCCCAGCCAGAGCCCAGACCTGAATCCAACTGAACATCTGAAGAGGGCTGTGCACAGGCGATGTCCTCGCAATCTGACAGATTTGGAGCGCTTTTGCAAAGAAGAGTGGGCAAATATTGCCACGTCAAGATGTGCCATGCTAATAGACTCCTACCCAAAAAGACTGACTGCTGTAATGAAATCAAAAGGTTCTTCAACAAAGTATTAGTCTAAGGGTGTGCACACTTATGCAACCAGGTTATTTGAGGGTTTTTATTTTTCATTTTTCCCCCTCAAAGATTTCAATTTGTTTTTCAATTGAAATGTTCACATTATAGGTCACATTAAAGGTGGAAAAAGTTCTGACATGATTTATCTTTGTCTCATTATTTTACATCATAAGAACCTGGCATTTTAACAGGGGTGTGTAGACGTTTTCTATCCACTGTAGAATCAAATGCTTCTCTCTCATCATATAATCCCAAGACTCAGTGATGTTGAGATCAGGGTTCTGTAGTGGCTATACCATCACTTCCAGGACTCCTTGTGCTTCTTTACACTGAAGATAGTTCTTAATGATTTTCGCTGTATATTTGGGGTCGTTGACATGCTGCAGAATAAATGTGGGGCCAATTAGATGATGGTACTGAATGATGGATAAGTATCTGCCTGTACTTCTCTGCATTGAGGGAAACCATTAATTCTGACCAAATCCCCAACTCCTTTTGCAGAAATGTAGCCCCAAACTTATAAGGAACCTCTTCCTTAAGCTGCAGCCAAGTATTTCACATTTTAAAATGGAATGAACAGGTTGCAAAGCTGTTGTAATTACATGTCAGAGACATGGAAATCATAATTTATCCCCGTTAAATCATTCATGTTTTTTTAAGGCAATTATTACCTTTAGGCGCACTTGAGACTTACACTATGTGATCACTCACAGCTTGTTGCTTACAGCTAACTATTAAGTAAAATTACATTATCAACATTATCACTAACAGAGAAAAATCCTAAATACATTGATGTATCTGTGGAAAACGTCTATTATATTTACTTTATTCTCAACCACAGAAGACCAAATAATATAAACTGCCAATGCATTAAAAAAAATCAATAAAAAAGTAAGGAAGCCAGAAAGTCAAAAAGTTCAAGTTCAAGACAACAAAGAAATTATTTTTACCTCCACTGCAGGCGCATAGTCCTTATCCAGGCTATTTTCACTGGGTATTTCTTTTATTTACCTTATGCTCCATGCCAGTTGGGGGCACAAAACCGTAGCCAAGGGAAACTGGAAATTGCGGTGGCAAAAGAGAGAACAACAACAGCTGCAATGAAAGAGTGATTGATACAGAGTATGACTCTGAATTTTGGAACCATGGTTACTATAGTACATGTTCTGAAGGAAATATGTCAACAAAGGAAATGAACCAGAACAGGGAAGGAAAAACCTTTTTTACAATAGAACCAGAGCTGTGTGGTAATTAAGACCTATCACCTGTACAGGAGTGATGACAAATTCGACTAGTTTTTGTGCTTTGTTACAGTATTCCAAAAAATGTTTCCTTGAAACATTGGACATGTTACCCTGGTGAAAGGGGGAAAAAATGCACGTTCAACAAGTACACATAATATTTCCAAGCATAAAAAGTGATATACAGTACATATGTATGTTCAAGTAGCAGTCTGTCGGTCCGCCCACCACTTTGGTCCATAGCTAATAGTATTTCTCGACTCGACAGCTGTTGGATGGATTGTCAAAATGTCTGCGTGTCCACTGAAATATGTCTACCTCTACAAGTTACATTCAACTAATTTTGTATACACTTTTTTGTTCCCAACAGGCTAAAAAACTTTTTTGTGTGTTTTTGTGTTTCTTGTCCTCTAACGCTGCCATGATGTTGACATTTGTGATGTAGAGTGAAATATTGCAACAACTGTTGGATGGATTGTCATGACAGTCCAAAATTAAAGATGTTCACATTGGTGAAGCTAGAAGTAGAGTTGTAGTCAAGACCACCCAAACCGAGACCAAGTCAAGACCAAGACCGAGGGAGGGCGAGACCGAGCCAAGACCAGTTCCCCACATTACAAAAAATTGCACATGATGCAAAAAAAGGTGGAACAAGATCATAGGTACTTCTCAAATTGATTTGAAAGATCCACATTCCCATTAAAACACCCACATACAAACACTAAGAGCTGAAATCAACAAAAGCATCTTTATTCAACGCTTCTTTTCCATGCTTACCTCCTCGGGAGGTAAGCATGGAGGATGGTCATTACAGTAACAACACACTTTTAATTAGGATTATTGGTTGCATTTGAAGCAATACGTTTTACATTCAAATTTAGGATGTCAACAAATAAATCAGACAATGCAAAAGCAATTTTTTGATATTCCCAAAGTTATAGTCTTGACTGGTCTTAACTGGTCTGGAAATAAAATCCGGAGTCCTCAATGTTCGAGACCGAGACAAGATGGAGTAAAAATGCGGTCAAGTCCGAGACAAGACCGAAACCATCAAAAAGTGGTCTCGAGACCAACACCGGTCTCGAGTAGTATTGAATGTTTGGCAGTTTTACTCAGAAAATGACATAAAATGATAAGTCTTTTTGGTTTTTCCAGCCAGAGCTGAAACCATCATTAGTCGATTAATCGATTAATCGACTAATGATGGTTTCAGTTCTGGCTGGAATTTTCATCAAGACTTTTATCTGTGTAACAGTTTGGTTTTCTGGCCTCTCAAAGCTGCTAGCATGGATGTAGACCATTGTTTCTCAGTAGTTTGAGATACCAGATTATTTAGAATACACAGCTGTGTACATACACAGTCAAATCATCAGTGCTGCCCCCTCAAGCTTGTTTCTGATTAGAATTAACATCCTTAGTTAAAAATATTTCCCACTTTCCCATAAGAACAATGTGTCATATTTTTTAGCACTGTGCCCAACAATCTCTTAAGCCATGAAGCCAAAACCAGAAAGCTGTTTGGCAGACCTCCAGAATTGGGAATTAAGCAACAGAGGGGCAAAACAATCAACTCCTATACTGAACTGGAGTTGGCTAAGCAGATGCAATTAAATATCATGCAATTGAAATGAACCACATACAGCCAGCAGTTTGGCAGTCTGGGCTAGTTGAACTGTAATGTAATCATTCAACTGGACAATGCTCTTTAGAACTCAGAAGGACAATTAAAACATCTGCTTGGAAGCCACCTGTGGCATTTTGCAGTCATGGATCATTTCAATATCCATACCAGGCTTTGGTATTCAACACAAATGATGCATCTCTTGTCCCCAGAGTGTCTTATTTCCCATGGCGTTTTATTTACAATCTCAAATCTTC